GTAACAAATTGCTATAGGACGCTCGATGCTCGAATTCCGTCTCCCGTTCTTGAGGAAGTAGAGTAGCTACTTCTTTCTTTCCTCGGGTACCCAATAAAGGTAATCGATGACCTCCTAAATGACCATGAAATACTGAAAATGACTGTAGGTGCTGTAGAGTAGATCCACGTCCTCCCCCTCGATCTGATAAGTTCCAATGCTTCTCCTCTCTGACCCATCTGCCGCAACGACTCCCCCAGTATCCTTCCCTCAAGCCATCCCCACGTTACCCTCCCCTGCCTCGAAATACGCTAGCTTCCCCATCCCTCCAATCCAGGTGCTGTCCGGTCTCTTGTCCTCTCTTTCACTGTGCAATTCCATCCGATGGCCCCTCGCGCCTGACTCAATCATCTCAGCTTGGATATAATTGTATGGACGGGGAAGGATGCGGCCCTGGCTCGCCATCTCAGAATCCGCATGCTTCCTATTCGTCCAATCGTCCCACATGACCTTGGTGCTCCAATAGAAATGCTGTTTCGCGCTCGCTTGTGTGTCTTTGTACCTCGCGATATTGTTCCCGTTGGGATCGGGGCTTCTGTGTGTGCGTTTGTTGGAGCCTTGTCCAAGGTTCTCGAGGTCGGCGCCCAGTCCATTCGCTATCTGGACTACCCTTGTCATATAAGAGAGTCTGAGGTGGGTGAGACTGCTTTCACGGATCTCATCAACCTTTTTCTGTTGGGGACGATCAGTCGAATGTCTGCTGTCATGATCAAGAGAGATCAACTACCCTGTATTGGTTCTCGATCGTGTTCATCTCCTGAAGTGTCTCATGCTGGACCGGTACCGCCTTCAACTCTCGATGGGTCTCATGATAGGCAACGCGGCGTGCAATATTCGAACCTCGGACCTTCTCGAGCTCTACAACAAGAGCGTCGTATTGTGCTTTGCGGCGTCCGTCTTTGTCATACGTAGCGTGGCCCATTTGCTGCGAAGTCCGCCCCGCCATTTCGGCCAATGCTGGTCTTAGAGCCTTAGCAACACCCGCGAATTTCACCTTCAGCTCCCCGATCTGCTGGACTTTGGCCTCCATTTCGGCGCATTTTGTGATAATGCGTGGGTTCTTAGCCGGTCCAGCGGCCTTCTTCTTGCCTTTCTTGGAATCCATTTCTGTATCTGGATGGTCAGCAAATGGACCTAACTCGTGGAAAATGATGTTCCTGAGCAAAGTTACTAAGGTATAGGGGCCCTCGCAATGACGCCGCAAGCATGCCCGAGATACAGCAGATGCAGCAAGCATACTAGGGAACGAGCCGATGCAATGGTGTGGAGAGTGAGGCTTAGTGCAAGCCAATAGCCTGCCGCAAAAGGCAAAACCCCATTAAAAATACATACCAGGATGGATGTGCGTGTTGGAGAAACTTCGAGACTAGTTGGACACCCTCTGCAGTATTGGGAACAAAGCTGCTAAGGATTTTGTGTTGATGTATGAGGTGAGGATTTGCAGTAGAGACAAGTTGTAAAATCGAGAAACAGTACGGACAAGAAAATTTCCAACTAGCAGGATTATTCGGGAACATTCCGATTGTTGTGTGTGTTGAGCGAAGGTGGCTGGTCAACAATATGATGTTTGTTATTGTCATTAGGAGGTCAATGTCAAAGACTGCTATCCATGTGACTTCACTTCTACTAGTGTTTCCGATCCCCTTCCATCGCTTTTAGTCCCAATGCCTCTCAATCGCTGAACCCTGTCCATCTACCAATGCGCATTATGCATATGTACTTGCTCACAACTCGTGAAAGAATGTACTAAATCAACCCATCAATATCTGACTGATACGACGCAGATCGTTTCATTCTATGCTGACTCGGACTGGGCTCAAAGCCAGAAGGCACCGGAGGCGCATCCTGGCTTGTTGAGCGTGGGTCCCTCACAGTTCGGATATCTGGAGAGCTCTCCGAGCGAACTAATGCGCTCGGACTCGAAGGAAGGCTGCCAGACCTGGATCTCATGCGTTTCAGCATACGTTCATCAATTAATTGGCCTGCTTCTGGCGCAGCAGTAACAATCGTTCCTGGTGATGCACCCGGAGAAGGAACGGGACTGCAGGTCCTGAATAGAGGATGAATGTGGTCTTCGCTTGGCCCTCTTGAGCGAGAGCCTGGCCGCGAGTGTGAGATGGTTCCCGAGCGGGATATGGGTCCTGAACGGGAGCCTGGTCGAGAGAAATTACGCTGTAGCGGACTAGTGGGTGGCGGATTGGATGACGGAGGGAACATAGTAGTAAAGTTGGGCTGCTCTGAAGGGCTCGGAGGAGAACCTGGCCTTGAGACATTTGGTTGGGGCAGTGGGCTTGCAGGTGGGCTCAATGATGGGCTCGACTGGAAAAACGGTCCTTCCAGCGCTTTTGCTGGTGATGGCGATCGACTGCCCGGTATGGGTGGTAAACCTGAGCCCTTTATCATAGGTTTAGACTGGAGCACCGTTTCCCGAATGTGCGAAGATACTCCAGAGGTATCCCAAGAGTCAAAGCCTTCATCCTTGGAGGGCCCTCCCAATGCGCCGTCCAAAGAAGATCGTTGCGATTGACGTGTATGCGAGTGCTGACGGATGAGTAAACCTCGCCTTGAAGACGATGGGCGCTGTATGGTCGAGAAAGAAGAGCGAAGCGAGCTCGTGCCGTCAGAAGCTATCAAAGATGGCAGCGACGAAGATAACTGCTCGTGGAAGGGATTTGGTTGAAGAGTAATGGCAGTCGCTGACCGGCTAGTCTCGCTCATCTCCTGCGGTGCGTCGTTGAGCGGTTCCTCGATATCAAATCTTTGGAGCGATGTTTTCTGCGTGGACCTTGCGAACCAAGCAAAGTGTGAGAAGCAGAGAACGTGAGCTCCGACAGATAATCCCCAGACGACAAAAAGTATTGTCAAAAAGACCGATACAGAAAGCCCTGAGATAAATATAGCTTTCCCCACAGTCCTAGCCTCAGCCCATCCCAGTGCAGCCCCAACAACCACAATAGCTACCAAACTCGGCAACACTCCGAGTAGAAGAGTGGGCACGAATGTTTGCCGGATTTGCAGCCCAAGAATCTGATCATAGCGAAGTTTGTGGTAGATGAGCAGCGCCAGGCTCCCGCATGAAAGAAATTGTATTACAGCTGCAGCCAAAGGAAAAGCATAGGGCTCTCCATGATCTGAAATCAAAGACCCAGCTAGAATAACCATCAGAATGGCAGTGACGAGGCCTAGTAAAAGCGCGACAGCGCCGACGACTGTGGATGCAGCTTGCCGAGCCATTGTGTCTTTGGCGCCCTCTCAAAGTCTTCTCTGAGACACTTCTTCAAGGGTTGGAGGGAGTTTGAGAGTGTTCAATGGCTCAATGGAGCGTCAGCTGGATTGGCTATAACCCAAAGAGGGATGGTCGAAGCAGCTGGCTCTGGCAGATGAAGGTTATTCAAGTACCGTGTGTTGGTGGATGAGGATAGAAGATAACGGAGTGAATCGATAGTCAACTGGAATTGCAGTGCATTCTTTGAGTTGTCAAAGAAGAGTAGAGGAGTCAATGGAGGGAAGTGAAATAGTCGTATTGGCGGAGATGATAGGATCCACGTTTCAGATGGTCAACAAAAGACATTGGACGTTTCATAGAGGATGAAGACGTGGTAGAAGTAACTGCAGATAGTCTGGAAGGCCGATTAAACGATCAGATCCATTTTCTCCACTGAATGACGAGGTGGAAAGAGAAGAGATGGAGAAGGAAAACACCTCAAGGCGCGCGAATCTGACAATTGTGGAGGTTGCAAAACGCGACGCAGGGATCTGCTGCCTTAGGCTCAAGGCTGAACAACGCGGTCGCGACATGGCTGCTTTCACCCGTATGGTCCGCAGAATACAATCCCTGCTAGCTTATCATCGAGACGCTCGATGACCGCATTGATCCAATAATATCAAGCCCGAAATAGGACACCGTGATGGATTTGGTCTTGAAATGAGTTTGCTGGGCGTTGCTTTTCTCCATGGGTCGAAGCAGCAGAGGAGAACAATAGCAATCTTCTAGGCCGCCAAATTCAAGTACGTCGGGATCGTGATGCTTCTTCAGTCTGTTGCCTGCAGACTGATAGCTGCATCGAAGAATCTATAGGTGCGGCATCTGGCGGTTTGTGATGCCCCATATTCCAAAGTTGAATGGTCTGACCTCACAGCTCCATCCACTTCGCAACCCTGTGGAGGCCCATTTCTGACCTCAACTTCGTGTGTAGCATACTCTAGTTTCTCTGCCTCTTGGGCAATCTGTATTATCATCATTGACTGGTGAGCGGGTGCCTCCTGCTCTGGGAAGGAGTACTCTTGACCAGCTGGCAAAGAATCTCTCGGGTGATCCTTAAGCCTATATCGGCAGACACGGCCGTACTGGCATACTGATCCCATGAGTTTTGGGTGGGTAGTTGTTCGACTCAGTACCCCTCGATGCGGCGATGGCAAAGGAAAGCGGAGTTCACGACGGCAGCTTCCTCAGATGATGAGGATTGAGTGGCCATGAAAAAATGTCATCTATTCAATGATGTTAATGATCTACTCAATTACTGTAAGCTGTAAAGACAGAAGAGCCGCGCCGTGGGCTGCCAAGGCGCTACGTAAGCGCGCCAAGTCTTGCGCAGGCTACCACTACCAAGGTGAAGGACCGAGGGGACACAGAGCCTGCTTAAATCTTTGTTTGTCAACCGTCAATATCGCTGAATAACACGACTCACCAACGTACCTGTGTGCTGTGAGCCGTTTCTGTTTAATCTGGACGTTGCAGGAGAATTTGGAAGATACCACGCGGTGGGGCAAGATGAAGCTCACTTTCAAGGTATCTTGCCTCTGAATTATCGAGGATATCATTTGCTATCCAGGCGTCGAGGTCTGACTTGTGAGATAGGACCTGAAGCAGCAGAAATTTGTTGTCGAGGCCGAGCCTTTAGAAACGGTATGATCGAAGCCGAGCAGTGGCTCTCCGACAAACGTCGTGTAATGGTCAAGGAATGCAAGCTAATCACGAAAGATGGACACAGATCGGGCAGGTCAAAGAGAAGATCTCGAGCGAGAAAGGATGGGAGGCTAGCCAGCAAAAGCTTATCTATTCGGGTACGCATGGAAAGTGGAAGGCATTATTTGGTTGTTTTGTCATTGTCCACGTATGGTCGTGCTAATCATGTGCCGCATGAATAGGCAAGATTTTGCAAGACGCAAACACCGTCGAATCTTACAACATCGAAGAAAAAGGTTTCATTGTCTGCATGATATCAAAGGTGGGAGATGCAACATCGTCTGAGCATTAGAACAAAAGCCTGACACTGATCTAGCCCAAAGCAACGCCTGCGGCCTCTTCGTCCACTTCGAAAGCTCCCTCAACACCTGCACCTGCGACAGCACAGACCCCAGCTGCCCCGGCTGCTCCAGCTCCCGCAACATCGAATTCGACATCAAATGCTCCGTCTACACCATCACCAGCCCCAGCCGCTGCTGCGTCGGTAGAAGGCGCAAGCTTTAACGATCCGTCAGCTCTCACGCTTGGTGCACAACGTGATGAAGCTATTGCGAATATGGAGAGCATGGGCTTTCCAAGAGCTGAGATCGATCGTGCAATGAGAGCGGCTTTCTTCAATCCAGACCGTGCAGTTGAATATCTCCTGAATGCAAGTAGTTGGATTGCCAACAAGCGAACATCGAACAACCACTAATTATATCAAGGGCATCCCCGAAAATGTTCAACGAGAGCAAGCACAAGCAGGTGGTGGTGCTGCGGGAGGAGCACGTGCAGCTGGCACACCCACCGCGGCTTCTCCACCCGTGGCCACTGGCAATACGCCAACTGCCGCCACCAGCGATGAAGGCGACCAACCGATCAATTTGTTTGAAGCAGCCGCGCAGGCCGGCCGAACTGGCGGAGGAGCTGGAGGCGCCCGTGGAGGACGTACTGGAGGAGCAGGTGGTGCTAATCTTGCAGGCCTAGGTGCTGGTATTGGTGCAGCAGCTGGAGCAGAAGGTGGCGCTGGCGGTCTCGGCAATCTCGATTTCCTACGCAATAACCCCCAATTCCAGCAGCTCCGTCAGATTGTGCAGAGCCAGCCACGTATGCTGGAGCCCATCTTACAACAGGTCGGTGCCGGAAATCCTCAGCTTGCGCAGCTCATTGGCGAGAACCCAGATCAGTTTCTGCAGCTGTTGAGCGAGGACACTGGGGACGATACGCCGCTGCCACCTGGAGCTCAGGAGATCAGTGTCACGGAAGAGGAGAGGGATGCGATTGAGAGGGTGAACTTGCCATGCTTTTTTTTCTTTATGTGTGACAAGTTTTTGCTGACTTGCTTAGTTATGTCGCCTGGGCTTCGAGCGCGATCAGGTCATTCAGGCTTACTTCGCATGTGACAAGAATGAGGAAATGGCGGCGAACTTCCTGTTTGATCAGCCGCCGGATGACGCCGAAGGGGGTGCTTGATAAACCTCGCTTTCATGACCAAGAGAACTTCTAGCATGCATTGAGTGCGGAGTCCTCCAAATCTGATGGTGATGATGGATGGCCGACTTCAAAAGCCGTTCGATTTCAGCAATGGCATATATCCATAATCAAATCGGCCTCATGGCTTCGTGCCGGTACAGCTCGGATGCAGCTAAGTAGAAAATGATTTTACGATGTAGATCTCAACATGTTAGTATAGCGATTAGAGTCCCGGTCGTCCTTGACTGTGAATAGCTGGGGTATCATTTTTTAGCCTCAGTCAGTTCTGATATCTACCAGTCTTCACGCATAATTCCCCTTACCTCCTCCCCCATGCGGACTCCACACACCCTCCTAACCTTCCAAACGACCAACCCTCTTCTCCCTACCACCCTTCCTAGCGTCCTCCAAATTCCCTCCTCCCCAATATCCAAGTCATCCAGATTCAGATGTTGACCATACCTCCAAATCTCCTCAAACGCGAACGCCTGATTCTCAGCGCTTGTTACAATCCAGTGATCGATTTCCATGCTAGAGTACGGCGCAACGAGTCCAACGCTTTCGTTCGGGTTGCATTCTGACCCGAGAGCCGTCTCGACCTGCGTTTGTAGTGTTGCGAAAGGTATGCCCATCAAATCGGTGGTCCGTATAGGGTTGTGGTCCAGGAGCCAAATGGGTGGACTGTAGGTACGCCACCAAAAAACCTCTCCCATGCTTACCCCAAGTTTGGTCTGCTGCCCTAGCCATGTTTGTGCGGGGACCACACCGCCTTGGTGGTATACTCCCATGAGGACGCCAAACAAAATATTGAACCCTATCCAGGCTGCCAGCCAGTATTTCGTCAACGATTTAGATCTTGGTAGGTGTATTGATGAAAGTAGAAGCGGTATGGCAGGTAGTAGAAAGCGTGGTTCTTGGTGAGGTATGCAGCTGAGGAGGAGTATTCCGGACATCGCCGACAGCACAGGCAAGCGCGGAACATTTCTGATAGGAGCGGTAATGAATAGGTAGAGGGCTGGACCCAGGAGGAGGGGTAGAGAAGCGACGAGGTGGTGGTAGTGTGGATGTAGACCATGCGTGGCAAGGTTGGAGGTCTGGGTATTGTAGAGGAGAGAGTTTAGGGGTGTGAAAGTGGGATTGGTGAGAAGAGTATTGAGTAGTGGGCTATCTGTTTGGTAGAAGCTTGTGTCTACGACGATGGCGAGACTGATCGTGAGAAGGGTAGCGATGGAGAGGACAAGAAGAGAAAAGGGTCTGTACTGGTAAGTATGATTTCGAGTTCCTGGGGGAACGAGTGATTGTACCTGCGGAAGAAATGTGGCAATAGATGAAGGCTAGGAACGAGGAGGTAGGCAGGAAATGTGACACGATTAAAGATGCCAAAGGTGATTAGGCAGCCCAGGATGGCCGAGGAAAGGAGCGAGGATCGTTGCTATTCACTTTCAACTCTTGCTTGTCTATGTCGTAGGCGTTGCACATACTTTATTGTCGAGAATCCGCTGGACCATGACCAGACTCCATGCCACAACCAGGGTCTCGACGGAATTGGAGAAGGTGTGTGTTTGGTACGTCCAGGTCACGTATGAGGACGCGACCAATGTAACGGCCAGCCTTCGATGTCCGGGAGATTGAACGAGTTCATGTACTGCCCAATCTTCCAGTACGAAGCTCAAGATGAACATCAGGATTCGTAGCGTATAGTAGACAACCTGTGGAGGGACCTCGTTTGTACCTAGTTCTGACCAGATCCAATGGAGCACCACCATCGGAAGGCCGTATACCGGCCATAGTGGAAAGACACTTCGGACGGGATTCTCGGTTGTGAACTCCCAGGTCAGATGGTGAGGGAAAGCGAACGTCTTGCCTGAAATTGATCAAGTGATCAAGTTAGTGATGTGGTTTATTCCGACGGAGAAGGCAACGCGGAGAAATCAGTTCAATTCAATTGACAAAGAGGGGACACGGTTCCAGGCCAAGATGCGAGGATGCTAGTCTAGAGTTTGGTATAGAGTAATGAACGACATTTTGGCGTTGGAAGCTCACCGCTGGTCGCGGCAGACGTCGAGGATTGTCTTTAAATAGGAGGAGGAAGAGGAAAAAGATGTTTAAACGACCGCGTTGGAGACATACCTGCGATGACCTCTGGGCCTTGAAAGTTTTCATCCGGATGGATATAGCTCGGCTGGAGAGCCAGATACAAGCGAACCACCAGCAACACCAGGTAGGTACGCGTCCACATTGTTGTTGTCCGTGGGCAATCTCACTCAAGCGCATGGTCGAGATATGAAGGGACATACTGTGAGATATAATTCCCCCATATTTGTCAAATTTCAAGATACCTAGGGTACGCTCAGAGCTCCAAGTTTGAAGTCGAAAAGAATACTATTACTACTTGCTTGCTTGCCGCGTCAAGCGTACTCTATACACTTAGAGGGAAACAAATGATGACGCTTCAGGTCCGACAGGTTGGTCCATTGCCCTTTGGCTCTGCCATGCAGTCAATGCAGTCAATGCAGTGTGGTGATGATGCCACCTGGTTCGAATCTCTCTCTATTATTACTGACTATGCATGTCGTTACGAATCTACTTGACAAGACACCTTCTCCACTGTTTTCTAGTGTGCCAAATGGGGTTAGGCTCTGTGCTTTACCTACCTCACGAGCAGTCTTTCAACTACTACCGCTCCTCTAAAGTACTCTTACTATGCCAAAGGTCGAGGAATGGCACTTGGTGGGAGAAGCCAAGTATACGAGGTTGGAGATCTTTTCTTGAAAAGGGAGGCAAAGACAGAGGCAAAGAAAGCGTTACAGTTGTACGCAGCATCGGCAATGATCGACCATTCTCTTTCCCACGGGTTTCTTATCAAGGAATAAAACACCTGCCGTCTCTGTGTATAGATCTAAAACAGTCCGCTGCGCTCAAAGATCGCCATGCTACATCCTCACCTTTCCCTTGCTCAACGCCGACATGCTGGAACGATGTTTCATTCCGTCCAGAATACCTATTGTTTTTCAAAGAGAGCCTGTAGCGTTAAAACCCTCGAGTTTGACGGGTAAGACCCGGCAATCTTTGCTAGGCTATGGCGGGAAAACCAAGTATTCGTCAAAGGAGAAGGTTATCCGCTCAAAGGCTCATGGGCTATGCTTTCTTCGGTATCCTCAATCTTGTCCTCGAACGTAGCCAGCCAAGTGAGGTATCCAGAAATAGAGAAGGGGCCTTTCGGAGACTGACACTGTAATCCTGTCTTTGATCGTGATTGAAACTAGCTTTCCTTGGCTATGATGCTGTTGATCGTTCTCGTGGCAACAAAAGGCATGCAGAGCAGTATGGGACGTGAGATGGGCCTTGGTCGTCCTATCGAGCCATTTCATGCCGTCATCCTGTTCGTACCCTACTAATCACTGCAACTGTGACGCATGGTTGGAGTGCGATGATGGCGCTGAGTGTCATGGTCATCTCCGATCCCAGACGAGACTTCAACCGGGACTGAGCAATAACATAGCAAAGATAAGAAAGGAGAAAAACGGCATGAGCAAGGTACAAGACGAACTGACGATTAGCACTTCTTGATTGCCTGATAGCATCACATCCCTGATGTTTTGCTTCGCTGGCAAAGACTACCAACAGTGAGAAAAGGGAGAGATGCGCGGAGGGTGAGTGTAGTTGCATATGCGTGTGACGATTTTCAGGATCTCCGGAGGGGAGTTCAGCATGCTGAGCAGAGGCTTGAGGGACCCCGGATTGCGACGTTGGAAAGCAAGTATATTCACTCTCCACTCTCTCTCCACTCTACATCCACTCAAATAGTATATGATGGCACGTGTGTATGAAGACAAGGAGCCTTGATTTGCCAGCAGCTTGTTGTTTCTTCGGACGCACCAAAACGGATAAGATGGCGACAAAGGCCGCGGAGCCTACACAGGGAGGGGAAGGGAAGGCGAGCAGAGCTGCATGCGCGATTTAATATTGAAGAAAGCACCTATGGGGGATACAGTAGTAGTGGGGAAATCTTGATGATCTGGCAGGTCAAGGAGTTGATGCAACCTTCTGATGCCGGTGCAGATGTACGGTCAACTTCCCCCGACCGACAGGAATGATTGGCAGTGCCGCAGTAATCGGCGGTGATGGGCAGGCCCAGGAGTGGCTATCTCTTTTTTTTTCTTTTTTTTTTCTCTGGTGGTTGAAAGAAGACAAGATGCTTACAAAGGAGAATTTTGTTATTATTATTATTGTGCAAGATGACGAAATGATGAGATGCATAGTACATAATACATAATACATAATACATAACTAATGATAAGAATAAGAAGATTACATGTATTTGAGGCCAGACTAAGACGCCAAGCTTTCTCTCAGCTTCTGACACAATGCAATATTTGCCTCCGTCCTCGGTCCTACACCAGTATCTCGTCTGCCAGGTTCAAGTTCTTCACTGTGATTACAGAGCAGATATCAATTATTGATTATTATTATTATTATTATAACCATGTCTTCTCCTCGGACAAGAATAAAATATTCCATTTTTGCCCCGCCTACAATTGACTAACATCTAATTTCTGGGGGTGTGTGGTTAGAACAAAACATTAAAATTCCACACCAAATTCCCCACCTATTCTATCCAAAAACCACTTCCACACCGACCCAGAACACATTCATCCATCCTCATCCTCGTCCTCCTTTCACTTGCTGAAGAGGAGGTGTCTCTGCTTCCCACCCTTCGATAACTTTGCACGCACCTTCGACAATCCAAAGGCATCCTCGTCAAATCTCTGCTTCGCTCGAGACGCTGCTCTTACTTAGTCCACCGGTTTTGGTCCTCCACTTCTAAGCATCGCTGCTCCTCCACCCAGCAGGACTCTTGGAGTTGAAAAAGAGAGAAAAGCTTCTCCCAGTCTCTCTGTCTGAAATTTTCTTTACCAAATACACCCAGTTAACAATTCACCTTCAATTTTGAGCCTCTCACGCGTAGCAGGCAGGGCACTTGCCCGCCTGGACGAAGGTCCACCGACTTTAATCCCTCTCTACTAAACCTAATAATTCCAGTACAAGAATGAACAGCCAGACAAGCACACTGACTCATCGTCCACCACCAACGCCGTCCCCGTCCGACTCTACGTCTACTCTACACTCGCAAGATGGGAAGCCTGGTTTTCCGCAACCTTCCATACCCGAAGAGCCAGTGGTGCTGCCCAATGCCTCCCAAGTCCCAGGGCCTACACACAACGCGCCTGTGGCTGCCAAGAAGCCGACAATAACAAACCGCCTGACTCGCATGTTCTCGCAGGCAAAGGTACCTAGTCAGTCCGAAGCGAGCAATGGTCGCGAAAGCGGGGCATCCGATACCGACAGCAATAAGGGGAGCTCATGGACGCCTAATCCGCCCTCAAGGCAGCAGTCATACACAGACAAACAGCCACAGTCTGCTGCAGAATCTGAACGAAGACTCAGCACGACGAACGTTAAAAAGGAGACTAAGGACACCGATCACGCCCAGGCACACAAGAGGTTCGAGATCTCTCCAGACGGCACTCACCAGCATACGCTCAAGAGCGCCAAAAGACAAGAGAAGTTATCGGACATGCTCCGCGACATGCTGGGAGGGAAAAAGCGAGACGATCATAGTCAAGACGAGCATCAACAATTGTCGCTGATGTCGACATGGGTAGATCAGCTGCGGAATGAACGCGAGAAACTCGCTTCTGACAAGAAGGGAGGGCCAAATGCAACTGCGACACTCGTGCAAAAGTATGGCAAATGCCAAGAGATCGTCGGTCGTGGAGCTTTCGGTATTGTTAGAATTTCGCACAAGACAGATCCCAAGGACTCCAAGGCCGAGCAATTATACGCTGTCAAAGAATTCCGCCGCAGGCCTCAAGAGTCGCCAAAAAAGTACCAAAAGCGCCTTACGTCTGAATTCTGCATCTCGTCTTCGCTTCGCCATCCAAATGTCATACACACGCTCGATCTCCTACAGGACGCCAAGGGAGATTACTGTGAGGTCATGGAGTTCTGCGCGGGAGGAGATCTCTACACTCTTGTGCTAGCCGCAGGAAAACTCGAAGTCCAAGAAGCAGACTGCTACTTCAAGCAGCTCATGTGCGGCGTGGAATACTTGCACGAAATGGGCGTCGCCCATCGAGACTTGAAGCCAGAGAACCTGCTCCTGACCACTCATGGCTCTCTCAAGATCACCGACTTTGGCAATGGCGAGTGTTTCCGGATGGCTTGGGAAAAGGAAGCTCATATGACTGCTGGACTTTGTGGCTCGGCTCCTTACATTGCTCCTGAGGAATACACAGACAAGGAGTTTGACCCTAGAGCCGTTGATGTTTGGGCTACAGGCGTCATCTACATGGCCATGAGGACTGGGAGGCATCTTTGGAGGGTTGCGAAGAGGGACGAGGATGAATTCTTTGACCGTTACGTGGAGGGGAGGAGAGGGGACGATGGGTACGGGCCCATCGAGACATTGCATAGGGTAAGTCACTTAAACTTATATGGGTTCCGAACTTGATAATAATAACATGTTAAGCGTCGTTGTCGGAATGTCATCTACTCGATCCTCGACCCTGACCCCGGCCCGACACGTCGCCTCACGGCCTCGAAAGTGCTCAAATCGGAGTGGCTCCGCGAGATCCAGCTCTGCAAGGCTGCTTTAGAAGGGTTTTGATCGTGGCCGAATTGGAGCAGACGACTGCCAATACTCTAGCTTGAACAATGAACGATGGATATGTCCCTGTGCCTTGACTGCAGGAGTGCGTCAAGCGTTGCATTCTTTGAATTCATTACGATTGACTACTGCATGTCGTCTTGACTGCTTCTTTGCGCTGCATACCCACCAGTCGCTTCGACGTACTCGAAACATGGAGTTATGATTGAATGATGGGGCATAGGAGGGTATTTGAAAGAGGTCGGCGTACTACGATCATTTACGTATAACTCGTCTCATAGCTTGCACCGTGATACGTTTTTTGCAGATTTAATTTACAGCAGCCAATGAGAACCCCACCACATCATCATCTTTAACTCTTGCACTGGGCGGTAAAGGAGTGAGGTAGGGGCACGTTCTTGGGGGTCTCAATAAAAATACTGGGAAATAGAAGTAGTCAAACTATTTACCCGAGTGAAAGTCGAGCTCCAATATGGCGCCAAGACAAATAACGAGGCAGTACGTAAATCACTGCATCCGTACTTCAACATTCTCCCAACAGCTACACCACTTACACTTGCCGCGTTTTC